CCCGCATTTCTTCTTTGCCAGACTGACACTTGAAAAAAAGCGGATACTCCGTGCTTTTGAGCAATGGGCAACCGTTCCGGCCAGGAGCAGAGATCATGATTTTTGTGAATTGGTTTATTTGCATTATACCATGCTGATGGATTATCATGATGACCTGGTGCTTATTGAACAACCTTATTTTATTTACCTTTCAGACACGATTGGAGAACTACGGACCTTTCTTTTAATCCACTTCGAACGGATACTTAGTAACCATATTTCCGGCGGTCAGGAGCCCTTAGCCCTAAATGAAAAGAAGCGCCCCTTTGCCCGATTACTCAAGTTGATCCCTATATTGCAGTTGATCAACAGGTAGATATTTTAAATTGAAAATTTCCTGCTACAAATAATATCAAATGAGAATCATTGATTTAATTAAAGACATAGATCAGGTAGATGAAGAACTGATCATCTTTCAAGAAAATATGGAGGATATAAATTCTGATGTAATTCTTGCTGAAGCAGAGGAAGGAGACGGTGGAATAAAAGTTGTTGAAGGACGGACTTATCGTTATTTGATTGAGGTCTTTTTAGCGAAAGAATTTATTGAAGATTGGGTTGGAAGTTTAAATTATAAACCGACACAGGAACAGATTGCAAAACGGTTACATGATTATGGTGTAAATGATGCCTAATGACATAATTTCGGAATAAATGTTTTCTGATAGTCTATGATAAAATATTCTATCTAAAAAATGATAGGATATTTTTATTGCATTTTAATCGCAATATAAAGTTACAATTCATGAAATTAATAGAGCTAATTCCCTATTTACTCGACCGAAGTACGTTGGAGAAAGTTTATTCAGAGCTGGGTTTAAACGATGAATCTGAGGATATTCTCATTTACCTGAAGGATTCAATTTCAATGGATTCGGAGATCTATTTTTTTGAGTCAGAAGAAACTAACGACAATTTGGAATTTGAGAAGGATGGGATTAGCTACATGCATCTGTTTTCTTTTGATCATATTGTTGACTTAATTGAGTATGATTTAGATTTAAAAAATAAGGGATATTCAAGCACCCAAATTGCTGAAAGATTAATGGAATACAGAATTATGGATGCTTAATTGCATTGAGGATAATATCAATCATTTTAACCCTGCCAAATACTGGCAGGGTTTTTTCGTATTAATTTTTTGACTACCGAGTCATGCTATTGCCCGCCTGCTGTATTCCCAATTTAAGTTCACCTAAAACGCAGGTCTATGAATATTACCTCTGCCCAGCAAACCACTGTTCCGGAAGAGTTTGTAGCCAGTGCCTACCGGAAACTATTCGAGGAATTTGAAAATATAAGCCCAATACCCAATGAACT